CAGGTCTTACACTCCTCTTCTAAGGGAACATGAAAAATGTGATGTTCTAGACTTCGGAATCAGCCCTTGGCCTTTGCACATAGCTGGCTTACAATATTGACTTTGTAAGACACAGTGCTACTCAAAATGTGGTGAGCAAACCAGCACTGGTCCTCAAACTTTTTGTTACATGTCATGATGTACTAAGTAGAGAAAGTGAAAATAAGCCTTTAGAATCTTTTATGTTAATTCATCAAGTAATTGCATGTCTATAGGATCTCCTAACAAATTGGGGGCTTACATTTTATATGTCTTTTTAAATTTCATGCTTTGACTAATTCATTTCTTATTTTACAAATTTGTCCACCCATGACAAATTGGGGAAAAACTAGGACCTCAAAACAGATACTTTGATAAACACTATTCTAGAATGTTGTAAAATAACTGATGAGTTAAATAAAAGCCACTTCTACACTGTAGTATTCTAACCTGGAAAGTGGATGTAACAATAGTTCTTATCTCCTGGGGCTGGGTCTGAGACTTAAGGGAAGATATATGTATGTAAGGTGCTTAGCACTATTCCTCCAAAACATTAGTTCTTAGTAATATTGAACAACAAAGGCTTGAGGAGGTGCCATTATGTGCACATGAGACATAGTTTCTGTTTGCAATGGCTTTTCAATGAAATCCTACATCTACACGTGATCTTCTGGAATCAGACCAACTGCTTTCATAGATTAAGAGTTCGTTTACCATTGACTTGCATGAAGGGACCAATATTTGGCTTCTGGTCTTCCCTGACCTTTTAGCATAACTACCTCATCATCGCAGTGTAGGACATCCTCCCATCCCATCACAGGTTTCCTTTGTTTTCCTTAAGTCGTTACATTGAGTAATTGCTGCAGGCCTAAACAACTGAATTTTTCTGATCTTTATTCCTTGCTAGGAGCTTGTATTATTTGGGGGCCAGCATAAAAATGACTTGTCATTCAAGGATGGCAAGTACAGAGACATAACCTGTGGTTTCAAGAGATATATTACTTAAGGTGGTGGCCCATTGTACAAAGCAAAAAATATAACATTTTTTTTAGTCAAAGTGGCCAAACAATATTTTTCAAAGTGTGTTTGGCTACATGTCAAAATGGAAGGTTATTGCCCCTTTAACAGGCATCTGGTAGCCAAAGAAGCAGCCAGCTATTTCAGGCTGTTTCACAGAATAAATGCTTCACTGAGGGTAATTCAACCAAAGTTTTCTAAATCATTTTTGAACTACAATACAATATACACAATACAATACAGTGCAATAGAGAACATGAGGCTTTATAATAAGAGCAACTCGGGTTCAAATCATGGTTTTGCAACTTAGTAGTTGGACCCATCATGTAAGTCCTTACTGTCTTTGAGTCTCAGTTTCCTAATCTGTAAATCAGGGACTATAAACTCTACAGCATAGGGTCATTGTGAAGATTAAGTGAGATAAGGTATAATAGGATAATGACTGTGCATAATAGGGGCTCAAATAATATTAGCTCCCTTCTTTTTCTCTATCCAGTTAATAAACTTCAATTATTTTTTTAAATCCATGTAGTAACTTTGAGACTCCATCAAAAGAATCCGATTTTGCAATATATAAAAACAACATGTCAGTATTTATTTTTTAAAAACATGCACTGGATCTGGCAGACTCAGTGAACAACAGTCTGTTTGAAAACATGACTTAACTCTTTCCAAGGTCAAACATCCTCAACTCCTTTTACTCTGCCTGGAACTCTTCGCTCCGACCAGAATAACTTTCCCAAGCACGTGACTGGCTCATTCCCACTTTTAGTCTTTTGTGTTACTACCCTTCTTGCAATGACCTTCAGATGCTTCCCTGCCGAACTCCATACTCCTTTAATGTTGTTCAACAGTCATGTCATCCAAAAATTGGCAGAAAGAAATCTAGTGAAGGGCTTCACTCCAGTCCATCCAGGACTACAGGTTCTTCCAGGGAGCTGTACTGGTCCCCACTTTGACACATTTTCTTGCTGATTTCCTCTACCTTTTCCATATTTTTAGATTCTTTCTCCCACTGAGGACATTCAGAATTAGGCTATCAGTTGCTAAAGGCCACACATTTTATGACTGATTTTAAACAGGTAGCCAGTTCTTTGGGTTTTTAGTTTTGTGTTTTCATTTCATGATTCTACCCCATTTAGTGGGGAAATGGTATTGCTGGCTGACTAAGAAACAGTGGAGAACTTCAGGAATGGAGAGGCAGCTCTAGAAGAAGTAACAGCAGTAGATGAGGGGCATGGGATATGATGAGAGATGGCAGCAAGCTGGAGGAGGCTAAGGGAGGGAGAAAAGATGCCTTAGAGGAATAATCAGCTTATTCTAGCCATTTTACATTACAAGAAAAAAAAAAACCTAAACAACAACTAGAAATTTCTGCTTTTTTTGCTTCTATTTTGTGCCTAATAAACAACATTACTGTCACTGCCAGTGAAAACAGCAACATAACTGTGGTTTTTTTTCCCAGCACTAATTCTAAACAATCTACTGGATTTGGATCAAAATTATAAACTGCCAACATGTTAAAAATAAAAACAGAAAAACAACCCTGGCATTTTTCTGAAGGGTTGTGATGGTGAATGCAGGACAAGAGCCAGAGAGAAGAGCTGCTATAAAAATAAATGGTGTAACCCACCAGGGCCTGTTGGGGGGGTGGGGGGTGAGGGGAGGGAACTTAGAGGACGAGTCAATAGGTGCAGCAAACCACCATGGCACGTGTATACCTACGTAACAAACCTGCACGTTCTGCACATGTGTCCCTTTTTTTTGTTTTTGTTTTAGAAGAAATAAAAAAAAAGATAACTGGTGCAAACATCCTTGAACTGATGTTTTCTATAAAAATCTGATGGCTGTGAAGGAAAGAGTAAAGTTGGCAAGGGGAAAGGAATGAGGATCAAGTGGTGTCTGCTTATCGTCAGCTAGCTTTCATGTAAAAGTCATGGCAGGGTCAGCAACAAACTAGCCAGGTGGCAACTCCAGGCCACGCTGCCATAAATAAATAGTTATGTACTAATGTCACACAATCAGAGCTAGATGCAAAGCATATGGGAAGAAAACATTCTGATGTAAATATTCAGGAAAAACTCTGGTTGTTCAATTCAGGATCCACTGTTGGTATTGGACTTTGAGATGCTTCAGAAAGTTAAAAGTAGTAAAGTTTTTAAAAACCCAGGCTAAAAGATTCTTTGAAATGTACAATATTCCCTTTAAAAAAAAAATCCTTAACCTTTGGCTTAAGACAGTGTGACTGTTTGATGTAGTAATTAAGCATTACTGAAAGTTGGCAAGAGCACTGACGCTGGAACCAAATTTCAGGAGTTTAAATCTTACTACTGCTACTTATCCTCATGACCTCTAGAAGTTCCTTAACCTTTTTATGTCTTTGTTTATTCACTCTGTACAAAAGGGAAGAGGAAGATAATAGCAATAGTACCTGCCTCGCAGGAAGTTATGAGGATTAAGCGAGGGGAGCTTAATGAGGGGAGCCTGTAAAACAATACCTAGTAAACACCCTGTCCATTTTTATCAAGTAGTCTTACTTAGTCTATTTATTTATAGCCAAAACTGCAGTTACTTTTGCACCAACCTAATATTTCACATAGACTATCTTCTAGACAGCACGCTATGTGATCTTTTATTTGTATTCGCCTATTAATCTTAAAAACAGCCCATGCTTGGGCCAAGTGGCTCATGCCTGTAATCCTAGCACTGTGGGAGGTAGAGACTGGAGCATCACTTCCGGTCAGGAGTTTTGCGACTAGCCTGGTCAATAGAGGGAGACTTCATCTCCAGAGAAAATTTTTAAAATTAGCCAGGTGTAGTGGCATGTGCCTGTAGTCCCAACTACTCGGGAGGCTGAGGTGGGAAGATTGCTGGAACCCAGGAGTTCGAGGGTGCAGTGAGCCATGATGGAGCCACCGCACTCCAGCCTGGACGACAGAGTAAGACCCCATCTCTAAATCAAACATACACAGATAAAACACCCCCATGCATTAAATCAGTTTTACAGACAAAAGAAATGAGGCTTCGATGGATTAAGGAATTTATTCAAGGAGGTGTATCTAAAACTTCCAACCCAGGCATTAATCCAGGCGAAAAATTTTAAACCACTTACAGGTTCTCTAAAGTCTAAGCACCTTTGCTTTCATTTGCTTAACTTGTTGAAATCAGAAGAGAAACACAACACACGACCTTCTAAGAACCAAAGAGATTTTAGAAAAGAGATTACAGGAGGGACTGATATCCCAATAAATTGCTTTAGGAGAACTGAGATCCATTCATAATACATATAGAAAACAAAAAAAGATTGGCTCATTACTCCAAATATTTATTGAGCGCCTACTATTTTCTGAGAATTGGATTACAGAGACAATAAGATGCGATTTTAGTCCTTAAGCAGCTCACTGCAAGGACTGAAAGTGACATTCTTTACTGTCGGCTGTTTGATGACGTCGGATTTGTTTCAAGTCTGCTTCTCAAGGACAAAATTGCCTTCCACGCGATGTACAGAAGTTGTAGGACTTCCTCAACACAAGCTAAACTATGTTTACAGCGACCCTAGTGAGTTTTCCTGCTCGACCCACGACAGACTTGGTGGAGTGAAGACGTGGTTTCTCGGCAGGCCGGTCTCCACTCCGAGGAGCGCTCAAACTGGCGCGTTAGGAAGTGTATTCAAATCGCGCGCTCTGGCAGGGGCTTTCGGGGGCTCACGCTGAAGGATCGCGGGGCACTCATGAGACCTGCCTCCTGGTCTGTGCGTCAGGCCGCCCTGGCTTCTAGTAATTGCGAGAGTACAAAGCATTCCTTGTTGATCCTTTGATCCCAGGTGGGCGATGCCTGGGATGCCTATCTGCCCGCTGAAACTCTGGCGCGGCGTCTTTCCAAGGGTGGCTGCTAGTTCCTGGTTGGTTTGCCCTTAACTGACATGGCGGCTAGTTGCCTTCGGCCGCACCCACTGCGGCTGCTCAGTAAGCCAAGCACGGGCACTCGGGTGTACGGCCCGCCCCCGCCGCGGAGGTGCCGGTGGAGCTTGAGACCGGGCGAGTCTCCGCCCCGCTTTTGCAGCTAGGAGTGTGTTTTAGGGGGGATTGGGGCAAACCAAGCAGGCGAGGACCCGGGCCTGTGCCGCTGTTTGCCTATCCCTCATCCCTCGGCACCAAGGCTACTCGAGCCCCAGGGTGTTTTTTCCTTGTTCCCGCCACCTCCTGGTCCCTGGCCCAACATGATACTGACCAAAGCTCAGTACGAGGAGATAGCCCAGTGCCTAGTGTCTGTGCCGCCCACCAGGCAGAGCCTGAGGAAGCTGAAGCAGAGGTTTCCCAGGTAAGTGTCCATCTCTCCCCTCTCACAGCCCTTTGCCTGCAGCAGCAGTGCCTGGGCCGCCCAGGCAGCGCTTAGGAACCACGTGTCACACATTAGTGGGGAGGAACACCCGTGTCAGGCGTTAGGAGGTCAAGGTTGGCTAAAAAAGGTTTCTTCTTTCACTCGCCTTCCGCACAAAACTCTTAACGATGAATTCATGGCAGCCTCCCAAGGCCTTGCAATTAAATTCAAGTCAACAGACATTTATAGAAGACGTGGTATGTGCTAGGTGATGGGTGCACATAGTAGGTGCTTCATAAATGACTAGAGGTTAATTGACAAATACTAGGAATGAATGATGGGTGGGAATATGAATTGTAGATTCGAAAGGAGGAAATGGAGAACCCTTTTCAATTGGCCACTGGAAAGAAACAAGGGAGTATAGGGGTAAAGCGGCTTCATACTGTTTGACTGTGGCTTGTATTGTTGACTGTGGAATTAAGTGACCTCAAGGGCTCTCAATCCAATCAGAGAGCAGGGTACCCCAGGGATTCCGCTCTTGGGTCTTTGGCCATTTGAACAACCAGATCTGAAGTTTCTCCATATATATTATATATACACACATTCCGGGTGTATTTCATACTTCCGGCCTCCCCCAAACACTTCTTTTTTCAGCGATTTTAGAATTATCCAACTTTCTAAGAAAGGACTTTGGGAATGATATAGATTTCTAATTTTAGTGAAGTGGAAACTGAGACCCAAACATTACATGAGGAACCAGTTGAGGGCAACCAGGTCACTGTATTTATGTTGTGTTAAAAAAGCAGATAATTTTTTTAAAAACTTTTTTCCTAATGAAAAACCAAATCCAAACCGGTACCGTTTAGTTTTGTGGCGCTGAGCATGGTTATCCCTAATGGAGAGCTTCCCCATCCTTGACGTATTCAGCCCCCAAGCAAACATCGCCACAGAAGTAATTTCTTGAGGAAAGAGAGGTTATTGGATAATACGTATTAAAGTACAAATTGAAGCATAAGTTTGAGTTCTGTTATGACTTCACTTTTTGAAGGACTTGGTTTTCCTAGTCTGTAAAATGAAGGAGTCTCTTTCCAATGTTATCCAGATTTGATTTAGGGCAATATTTATCCCTTTATAGCTTTTAGTATTTTATCAGACTTGCTAAGAAGGAACAAAATTGACATATAATTTAATTTTCTGTCATTAACTCTTGCCAGTTCTGCACATGAACAGTGAAATGAGTAAAGACTAGTCAGCCAAGGGAATAGGTAGATTTTTCTGGGCAGTTTTAAGAGAAAGCATACATTTTGATATTCTCCTCTCACTATGTGTGCAATCACTTGCAATTTTGCTTTTCTTTCTCTTCCTCTCCGTCTTTTTCTCTTTTTCTTTCTTTTCTCTAGCAAATACCTTGTCTACATAATAAGTAAGTATCTGTTACTTACACTTACGAAAGGTTCTCTTCCTGTGGGACACCATGCTGTCTGGCGTATTCTCTTATGCTCTTTTCTTTCTTATTCATGATATACTCAAATCTTTTTCACTTCTCCCAAATGCCATACGGGGAATAAATAACTAACTCTCCTTCCACAGGAAAGTTTATTTAGAGAGAGCTGAACTACTAATCCACAAAAGAAGGGATTAAGGAGCTATTTAGGGGTGGGTGTGGTGGCTCACACCTGTAATCCCAGTGCTTTGGGAGGCCAAGATGGGAGGATCGCTTGAGGCCAGGAGTTCAAGATCAGACTGGGCAACATAGCAAAACCCTGTCTCTAATAAAAATCCAGAAAAGTAGCTGGGTGTGGTGGCATGTGCCTTTAGACCCAGACACTCAGCTACTGCAGAGGCCGAGGTGGGTGAATCACCATATCAAGGTGATTGTTACCTTACTATATGATAATCCATTGGCCTATTTTGAACTTTGAATGGATCTTTTACCCATGCCTGATTTGTTATCATGCATTATCCCTTTGTAAAATGTTGCTTATGAGTTATGCAGATCTTCCAAATGTTGTCACCTTTCATTGTACAATATCAAAAAATTACATTTGTTAATATCATCTCTAATCTTAGCAGAAGTCTGTAAGATTTGAAGCTGTCAAGCTTGTGGTGATGGATATGAGCATTCCAGTATGTGAATTTTCCCTTGAAAGCTCAAATTTTATCATTAACAACAAATGCTATCAGTTGTTTTCCTTGAAATGACAGGCTTACATTGTTTATTTTTGAGAAAATGTCTGTCAGATACTTAAATCTGAATAATCGTACTTGGTTATCATTCATTCAAGTAAAAATGGTGTTCCGTAGAAAAAGTAGCTAGTTCAGCTCTCAAACAATCATACAAGTGCTTTCCTGGGAGTCAACCATCATACTTTGATAAGAAGTATATGTGCTTTGTATTTACTCCAGTCATACAGAATGTTAAAAGGTTATGTATTCAAGGGTTGAGATTTAATGCAATTAATAAGTGAATAAACTTAAGTGAAAGTCTTTTTTTTTTTTCCTGCACCTGTGTGGCAGTAAATACAGTGACTATTAGTACGGTTATGGTGCCTTGATTGGTGCCTTGATTTATGCTCAGGAGCTGGCAGTTTTACCCACCATCGTTTTTGTACCGTAAGTCCAAATGTGAATATAGAGCAAAAGGCAAATAATGTCTTGCTATTTTTATAAAAAGAGTGGTGTTGACCCTGGAGACCTGTGAGAGGGTCTCAGGGACTCTAAGTCCACCTGTGAGAGGGTCTCAGGGACTCTAAGTCCACAGCGACACTTTGACAATCGATAGCTAATTCAAATCAAAAGATAATTATGTTTTCAAGGGTTTTGATGTATATTGACAAATTAAAAAAAGTTGTACTAGTCCTTTTACTAGCAGAGCATGGGAGTGTCTGTCTCTGCAACTTTTTCAGTATGGAGGGGAGTCATTATTTAATCTTTAATATGTTCAATCAAGAATATGTTCAATCAATCAATCTTGTAGTTAGCATTTTAAAAATTATTATAGATTGTACCTTTTTGCAAATTTTTTTTGACCATTTAATTTTCTTTTGAAATACCTGTTTGGTATCCTTTGCCTCATTTTCTGTTGGCATGTTTGTTGTTATTGTTTATTGATTTATTACTTATTGATCTGCATGTGTTCAGGACGTTGGTCCTATATATGCCATATTTGTTGCATATATTTTCTGAGTTGTTTGATTTTAAATACTGTTCTGCTTTGGATGTGGTTAACTTTTCAATGTATGCTTTTTTTTTTTTCTGACATTTTTGCCTTTATACTTCGGAAGTTCTTTTCTATCCTAATATATGAAAGAAAAGAATATTTCACCTAAATTTTCTTTTAGATTCTTTATGGCTTTGTTTTTTATTCTGAATTTTTAAATCTTTCTGGCTGAAATTTAGTGTAGTAAATGCTGAGAGGTGAAGATGTAGCTTAATTTTTTCTCCAGCTTAATTTTTCCTCTTACTCTGAATTCTGGGATGGCCTCACTTCTTCATGGCTTGTTTTCACTGAAGTTACAAAATTGTGTCTTTTCAAGTCCCTGTGTTTTACTCACTCTCAGAATCCTTCACTTTAAAATGAAGGAGTAGGATTTGGTGATCTGTGATATCTTACAACTCCGAAGTTCACCCTCATTCTGTTCTGTTCGTTTCTACAGTTTTACCGTACAGTAAGTCATCATTTAATGTCTTCAGTAGGGCTTTGGAGACTGCAACTTCAAGTGCAGCAATGTATAATGAGAGCAATTTCACCATATGCTAATTGTTATAAACAAGAATTAAGTTCCTGTAGCATATTTCTGGTCATAATAGCATCACCAAACTTCTAAATAAAGACCCAAAACACATCTAATATTAAACACTGAAATTAACGTGAGCTTAAACAAGATAATTATTTACCCAATTTTTGGTGAATCAGTGAGTGATGGTGGTCATAGTGGTGGTGGGTTAAATCTGAGAGTATGTCTTTGCAAAGTGAAATTTGTGAGAAGCACCTCTTACCACCATGTGTTCAAAAGCAAACAATAGCCTGTTCAACAGAGCGAGACCCTGTCTCTACAAAAAAATTAAAAAATTAGCCAGCTGTGATGGCACATGCCTGTAGTCCCAGCAGCTCAGGATGCTGAGGTGAGAAGATTGCTTAAGTCTGGGAGTTTGAGGCTGCAGTGAGTTAGGAACGTGCCACTGCAGTCCAGCCTGAGCCATAAGAATTAGACCCTGTCTCTAAAAACAAAACACAAAAAACAAATAATAACAAATGTGGTGAGCTTGCTGAGCACTTGTGTACCGCATCTTTATTGTCATTTGTATGTATGATTATCATAGATTTATGAATTTTTGTTTTACAGTAATTTGTATTCATGCATTTATTCACTTATTCATTCATTTATTTACCAACCCGCTTATTCCAGTTTAGGATTGTGAGTGGCCTCTGGCGGCTCCGGCTGCAAGGTATGAAGCCATCCCAGCACGGGACACACTCACACACACTCCCATACTCACACTGGGACCGTTTAGACATCCCAGTTCTGCTAACACGCACGTCATTGAGATGCGGAAGGAAACCAGGGTACTGGGAGAAAGTTCACGCAGACGTCAGGAGCACGTGCAAACTCCACACAGACAGTGGCCCCACCTAGGAATCATTTTTTTAAAATTCTCATCAACTTTATAACAAAATAATGTTGAACAAAATAATGTTATTTGAACGCTTTCTGTAATGGGCCCTTTGGCACCTAAAACATAGGATATACTGCATTTGAGTACTTGCTGAGGACACGTTTATTGATTGACATTTTCTAATCTTTCTTGTGGACATTCTTAGAAGCCCCTAGTCCAATCAGCTGTTACTTATAAGGTTATGTTTTACATTTTAATTTCCTGGCCAAGCATTCCTTATGTATTTGATTATATGTTACTTTTGGGAGATTTTTTTGGGATAATTTTAAACTTACAGAAGAGTTGCAGAAATATGACAGAGAATTCTCATATACCCTTCACCC